GCTCTCGGCTGTGCGCGGCAAAGTGGCGTCCAGCGGCGATGAGATGGGTGAACCATGCTCAAACTCGAATGGCGACATCCCGATAGCCGGATGGATCGATGAGTTGTAAGCCAACTCGACGTCTGGCAAGCGCTCAACCCAATCAACCTGGTCGGGACGGATGAGAGTGCGTAGAAGGACTTGAGCGGTTCGATGCGCTCTTTCCGTTTGACCATCGGTTTGCGGGTGGCGAGCCGAACTCGGCTTCAAAGATGAGCCCCATCGCGTGACGAGGGCGACCCAAAAGTCGGAGAGAAAGCGAGTGTCCCGGTCGCAAACGATCTCCTTGGGGTAGCCCTTGGAGTGAATCCAACCGGTGTATAAGACCTCGGCTAACTCCGGTGCCTTTCCGTGATAGCGGCAAGGCAAAAACATGGCGTACTTGGTGAGGCGGTCGACGACCGTGAGGATCCCATCAACGTCGGTCTTGTGCTTCGGGAAGGGGCCGGTAATATCCATAGCAATTGCTTCCCGTCGCCCAAGGGGAACTGGTAGTGGGTGTAGCTCGCCGAACGGATGATGGTTGCATGACTTGCAACGCCGATAGACTTCGCACGACTCACAATAGCGGGTGGCGTCCTTGAGGAGGTCGGGCCAATAGAACCGCTGGCGAAGTCGGCCAAGTGTACGGTTGACACCAAAATGATCGGAGGCGGGCGCATCGTGAAACTCGCCAAGAAGCCGTGTGCGCAAGTGTGAATCACTTGGCACACAAAGAAGATCCTTACCCCGTGAATGCACAAGCAAGTAGCCCTCTTGGATCCGATAATGCGAAGGCACCGGATTCGGAGAGGAGCAATTCGCGTACTTGTCGCGGAAGTGGGGGTCGGCTTGATAGCCGCAGATAAAGCTCTCCCGCAAGTCGTCGTCGATCTCGAAGGTAGAGTAGACTGCGGTGCAAAGATCCGGTCGCCGTGAGAGGGCATCCGCAAAACGGTTTGACTTCCCGGGAATGTGATCGGGGAAAAAGTCAAATTGGTTGATGAAAGCCATCCAACGGGCAATGGTACTGTTAATCGTGTCTTGCGACTTGTAGAATACCAACGGATTGTTATCCGTTACCCATCGGAATGCTTTTCGACCAAGGAGGAAATGTCGCCAACGCTTGAGGGCGTGGACGAAGGCAAGAAGCTCCTTCTTCCGTGCGTCGTCAATCGAATGCACGGGAGGTACTTTCTTGATAAAGTACTCGACCGGGTGCCAGTCCGTGCCATCGTGCTGCTCAAGGACAGCCCCAATGCCATAGCCCGACGCATCGGTAGTGACGCGCGTAGCTAGAAGTGGGTCGTAGATATGTAACACCTCGGCGGATAAGAGTGCCGCTTTGAGTGTTTCAAAAGAATGGCGCGCATCGTCGTCGAAGTCAAAAGGCCGCTCCTCGCTTTGTAACTTGCTTAGGTTGGCCACGATCTTCGAGTAACCCTTGATGAAGCGCTGATAATAACCGGCCAAGCCGAGGAAGGATCGGACGTCCGTCACATTCATCGGCTCGGGCCACTCCTGGATGGCTTGAATCTTGTCCGCCAACGGATGAATGCCTTCCGGAGATACAAGATGGCCCAAGTATTCAAGCTCTTGCCGGACAAACTCACATTTGTCACAGTTGGCTTTGTACCGGGCTGACCGAAGAGTCTCTAGAACATGGCGAAGGTGCTCGAGATGCTCCTCTAGAGTTCGGCTATAGACGAGGATGTCGTCTAAGTAGACCAAGACAAAACGGTCCAACATAGCGCGAAACTCGGTGGTCATGGCCGCCTGAAAGGTAGCCGGGGCATTGGTGAGGCCAAAAGGCATAACTACCCACTCAAAATGCCCATATCGCGTCTTAAACGCGGTTTTGTACCGATCTTGCGGGCGGATGGAAATCTGATGATAGCCCGGCTTGAGGTCCAACTTCGAAAAATGCTTAGCGCCGCCCAGACGTTCAAGCAAATCGTCAATGCGAGGTAGATGCCCCGCGTTCTTCATGGTTTGCGCGTTGAGGCGTCGATAGTCAATACAAAGTCGAAGGTCCTTGTTCTTCTTCCGAACGAAGAGAACGGGCGCACCGTAAGGTGAGCTGCTAGGGCGGATCCAACCCTTGTCAAGAAGATCATTGAGTTGCGCACGGAGAACCGTGAGCTCCTCCTCGGACATGTGATAAATGCATCCCTTCGATGGCACGGCGCCGGCCTCGAGTATGATCTTGTGAGAGATCGCCCGGTCCGGCACTATACCGGAGGGTGTCTCAAAAACATCCGAGAACTCGTCTAACAACCGGGTCACACGGGGGTCGGAAGACAAATCCGTGGACGATGAGTCGGTCGTCGAGACGGTTCGAAGAAAAGCGATGCCAATCTCTTCGACATGCTCGGAACGGCATGTGTCTCGAAAAGATTTGGCACTCACGACTTGGCACCTAATGGAAGAGCGAGGAGGAGGAATAGTACACGGGACCTCGGCGCCAGTTGCATCACGAATCGTGAGCGTGCGTCGATGGAAATTGACCGTGTGGTCCGCGCTACAAAGCCAAGGCATCCCCAAAATGACATCGAAGTCGGTGTCCAACACGTCAAAAGTGACGGGTTCACATGCGTGCGGTGCAAAGTACACCGGGACAGCCGAGATGTAACGGTCTAAGAGTTGTTTTGTCTTACCGTCGGCAAGAGCGACCGTCGTCGGATGTGACTTCCTCCGTACTTGTGCGCCAAGGCCAGCCCGAGTCATGAAGGACTAGCTGATGAAGTTGCGAGTTGCGCCGCAATCTAGCAAAGCGTTGCAGGCCGCTTGCCCAATGTGAATGCGAACGTAGAGCAACGGTGCGTTGTTTTCGGCGTACCGTTGCGAGACAAACTCGCGGGCCACCTTGGCAACATAGCCAAGCGTGTCCCCCACCGCGACTTCGTCTACCGTCGGCGAAGTTGGTGGTGCATGGAAGGAAAGATACTCGTGTAAGAGGGCGCATAGTGCTGCGCTTTGCGGCCCCGGAAGGTTGCCCGTCGTAGGGAGAGGAGCCCAAGTGAAGTCCTCGGGCGTGAGCGGGTCCAAAGCCTCCTCTTTGAACACGCGTGCCGAATCCCTTGATGAAGACGAAATGGCGGAAGAACCTTCGGACGGTGAGAAAGCCGCACATGTATCTTGTCCTTGAGAAGCATCCAGTGAAGGAACGAGCCGGGCAGCGAAGTCTTCGAACGAAAGTGGAAGACTCCCGACATCCGCATATGCCTCAGAAGAAAGGGCGGTCGTGCGCACAACCGCTTCCAATGGCGTTGAGGGAGGTGTCGAGTCACCCTTGGCGGCGCCTACTTTCCCGAACGGGGTTTCCCCTTGGTGGGGCAATGTGCAGCATCGTGGATGGTGCTGTTGCACCAAAGACAATAACGATACTTGAGTCTCGTGCGGTAACAATTCGCCGAGAGTCCGTATTGTGCCCAAGGTTCGTCGGCTGTTGATCCGGTGCTCGGTGTAGAGGTGGACTGAGTCTTCGTCTTGTCGCGACCGTGATTGTTGCGCGGCCGGCCACCATCCCGGGCAGCTGCCTACACTTCACCCTCGTTTGGTGTTGCGGCCTCGGCATAAGAAGTCGGCGAAGTCGCCGCAATGCAAGCCACCTTTGGCTTGGGCTGGGTGCTGCTCGTCGTCGCGGAAGATCGACCGGCGTTGCGGGCTTCTATATTCGTGAGAATGATCCGTGACGCTGTGCTGAAAAGCTTGTCAGATGTGTCGAGTGTCTCTGCAATCTGCGTCAGCGCGTTTTGCAGAGCTGGACACGAGCGCATGATAAACAAGTGCTTGATGCCTCAGAATGCGAGCGGCAGGTCAGGTGTGGAGGCGAGTCTTTGGAACTCGGTAATCCAGTCCTGACTGAGCAGCGTGTTTTGATGGAGCTTGTTGAGCTTGTCCATCGCTTGCAGGTCGGACGACTCCACTTGGAATCGCTTGTGCCAGGCGTCAGTCAACTCCTGCCAAGTGAGCTTGGTGTGCAGTTCCGACACTGCTACGCCGTGGCTCGTCAAGATGTTGCCCAACCATGCTTGACATGCACCATCAGATCGGTGGTACAAGCACGGATATCGATCGTTGTTCGGGACATGGTGCATGTCGAGCCTGAGAGTAAACTGGCACCACCACGGGATCGGTTCCGTCTTGGACTGATCGCAGAAAATTGGAATGTCATCCAGTTTGGGTGGGCGCCAGGAGGATGCGGCCGCGGGCGTCACGGTGGCAGCAGCCTGGACCTGCGTCTCCAACTGCAAGTTCGTTGCTTGCTGCGACGTCCGGAAGTCCTGATGCACACGCTTAATGTTGTTGACGTCATCCTCCAAAACTTGAACGCGGGTGGTAAGGTTGGAAGGCCCTGCGGCTGCTACAACAACTGGCTGTTTCTCCAACGCCTGCAGCCGTGTAAGCATGTGGTCCACTGTCTGCTGCAGGTGAAGGATTTCCTCCTGCTGCAGAGCGCAGGTGGCCACGAGGTCGTGGGAGATCTGCGCAACGGCGGACAGCCCTTTGTCAATCTCCGGGGCCGTCTGTAGATGCCATTTCCACCCAATGTGCGGTCTCATCGCCGATCACGGTCTCCCGCGTGAACAGTCGTTCCCGCTGGCGTGACCGGTGTTCAGCTGCCACCTGCAGGTCTGCCTCCTCTTGACGAAGTCGGTCCTGTTCCTCCTTCTGTCGCTTGGCCTCCTCTTCTTGCTCATTCTGACTACGTTCCTTGGCCGCGGCGGCGGCCCTATCGTTGGTCTCCTAGATGAATGCCGCCAGGCGTTCCTCATAGGCCAGGAGGGATTCTCCCGCCTTCTGGTCCATGGCCTTGGTCTGTGATCGAGTGAGCAGTGGCATGCACTGTCGTGCCCGGAAGAGTCACCCGTGGGCCAATCAGATGGACTGACCGAGTATCCGGACTGGAGGGGGAGGAACAGGTAGGCAGCAGACAAGTGGGAAGGATCGGACAGATCCCAAATTGAACAGTTTCCTAATCAAAAAGGTAATAGTAATAATTTTTGAAAAAAATAAATCGAAAATTCGAAAAGAGACTGTCCAATCCCACTGAGTACCGAAGGTGATGAAGAAAGCAAATGTGAACCTTCGGTGCTCAGACTGCAGAAAATCAGAAAAGAAGGATCTTTACAAACTCAGAGTAGGAGTAGGTTGCAAAAAGAAAAAAATGCCCTTTTTTTTGTTGAAAAAGAACGGAATTTGCAGACCTACGCAGTGAAAGTGTAGAGGGACATTTTCGGAAAAAATCGCGAAGTTGTCAAAATGCAGACATTAAACAATTAAACAAGGTAAAAAAAAATTCTCGGAAAAGAATTCTCAGAACGAAAAAAAAATTCTCGAAAAACAATTTTCTCGAAAAAATAATTTCTTGGAAAAGGAAAAAAAAAAAATTCTCGCAAAAAAAAATTCTCGGAAAAACAATAATTTCTCGAAAAAATAAATAAATAATTAATTCCGGGAAATTTCCAAGATTAAATAAGAAATTTCCAAATAATCAATCAACTGAATTAATCAATCAATCAATCACTCAATCAACCAATCAATCAATCAATCAATCAATCAATCAGTCAATCTCAGATGATTGCTGGTTGATTGATCGATTGTTCGATCGATCTCCTGATTGGCTGATGAATCAATCGAAGATTGATTGGTGGCAATCCGCCAATCCAATCAATCAATCGATTGATTGGTTGTTGCCAAGATTCACTGCAACAACTCCGATACCACTTGTAGCATATCAGGAAGTGAAATGCACCGAGAGCCTAAGATCTAGCAATGATGAAAATGGCAACAACTGGCAGCATAGATGCAACATTCACAAGATGTCAATGTGCACAATGCAAAGAGTAAACCAACGAGAAATCAACAACAACACATTTGTATCATCATCATGGGCTGGGAAACAGCACAGCGGAAGTCTTAGTAACCAAAGGACACGAGGACAGACAACATGAAAGAGGGAAACTTCAGAAGAGCAGGACATCAGAAAGATTGCCCTTCCGCTCACACACATGGGGAGAGGTCCATAGACATGCGGGAGAGAAAGGGGAGAGACATAGGAGATAACCAAGTCCAACCCAAGTCTGATCTCCGAATGTCGTACACAGTTCAATCCCAATGTAGTGTTATGACCCTGGCCAATTTCGAGATACACATCCACTGGAAAGTACAATGCCATCCAATTGCAGAAAGAAATGAATGAACTTGAGAGGTGAGAGAGGAGTAGACGAAGAAGAAGAAGAAGAAGTAAGAAAGAAGAAGAAGAAGATGTACACCAGTAAAGRCAATGACAAGGCTCTTCTTCTTCGCCCAACAATCTCCTCCTCCTTATCTCCCCCTTCTCTTATTCATACAAGAAATAATAATACAATGTTGAATGACTGGTCCAGAATCATGTCCGAGTCCCTTTTCTACTGCAGGTATCACTCAAGGTCCATCATAGCCATGGCTGCCTTCCCGCACTCTTCACATACCTAGGCCGAGGCTATGGCGGACTACTAGGCCTTGCACCGACGTCCAAAGGACAACCCAGAGCAGCTATGGCTGCTCCAGCTCAGGCCGCCATGCCCAGCCTTGCCTTGAAGCTTCTTGGTGTAGCTCCCCCGRCTGGGGACTCCTTGCAGCAGCGCCCACCAAGGTGATGAAGATGGCTGCCACCATAGCCAGGTGAGTACCCCTGGCACTCCTCCCCCTTCCTCCTTCCTTCCTCCTTCTTCCTCCCTCTAGTCCTTCTTCTTCCTCCCCAGCAGCACAGCTCCAACCCAGCGCTGCTCCCTCCAGCGCTCCACCAGTGTGTCGCCAAACTTGCACACCAAAAAAGAGGCCGGGTCTTCTGCCCGGCCGGAAGATATTGCGGCCTGCTTTGCCTCTTGGGCGGTGACTTCCAGGCCGCGGGCCTTCCCAAGCAACCGGTACCTCTTCCTCCTTTTGGAGGGAACATCATTGCAGACTCTGATATTGCCCCTACAGGCCCTAGACTCAGACTGGTACCCGCTAGACCTAGCCTACACTACCGGCCTCTAAAAATGCCACTTTTGTCTTCTTCTGCTCGACCTCCGGTACCTGCATATTTACCCCCCTGCCGGGTGCGGTACCGGCCTACCCGCTACTTGAGTGCTTTTTCCCTGCTGCAACCCTTCGAANGCCCGAATTGCAGCATGGCGCCAGTTGTCCAAAATCCTACGGTACCAAAAGGAGGGGTTTGGAAAAAGGGTGCCAGGCCGAAAACGGGATGCAGCCGAAACAGCAAAAGATAGACCAGGGATCGAGCCCTGGCGAAGTCCGTAACACATAGGGCCTTCAGGTTGCGGTGACGCGACCTGGGGGCCCTATTCCAACCTCGGGTCCCGTGAGGGGCCCGTGTGTAGGCTTTCAGCATGTAACAGGGGGAAAGAGGAGGAGAGTGGATGTAGGAGAAGAGCAGGGGAAAGAGGAACCTCATTTGGTCCTCAATACTCACTGGCAGAGTGGAGTGCTAGAGACTGGCTCAAGCAGCCAGTCAGGAGTCGGGATGCCAAGAAAAATTAGATGAGGAGCAGGTATTACTGATCGTAAGTGGCCACCCCTGCTGACTGGACTGGACTGGTGCGGGAGTGACCTGTGGAAGCACCACATGCAGATCTTGCAGTTGCAGTTGCTTTTAGGTCTGACAATTCTCCTGCACCTGAGTTTCTCTCTTTTTTTTTTTAATGTCACGTGTTGAAGCCTTGGTGTAGTCTGCGAAGTTCGTTCAATTCTCCGTTTTGAGAAGCCCACCTTGAGCTTGATTGATTGGACGGCCAGTTTGGCTTGTCCATTGCAGAGGCTATTTTGGTGTAAATGACTGGCATGGCTGTTTTGGCTCTGACCTGCTCGCAATGTTGCATGCGATATGATGTGCTTATGGGCTATCTCACTGACTCTTAGTCTGCCTATTATGGATGTGCAGGCTGTTCAGACCGTCGTGGGTGGGATCCTTCATGATGTTGTGGATGATACCAACCGAACTCTGAAAGATGTGCAGAAACACTTCGGTGATGATGTGGCAGCCCTCGTTGAAGGTGTTTCAAAACTAAGCCACATCAATCAGGTGTGTACATTCTGCTAATTCCTTCGATTATATTGATTTGGTTGGCCATGCTGTTGTGCTGTGGGATAAGTGGACAGGTGAGGCATTTTGCTTGTTACCAGGTGGGAGCAACGGTGCAAGGAAGATGAGCATTAGCGAACTTCAGCAATCAAACAGCATCATACATATGAGCCCAGATAGTCTTGACCTCGAACCACAGCAGACTTGCATCACGAGATACACCAAATAAGAACACACCAAGAGTTCAAAATTGACAATGCTGAAGTTGTCCCATCATCATCAACTACGAACTAGAGTTGATATCCTATTGGCGCTCGGCGCCCAGACTACAGGTGGCAGATCCTATCTAGCCTAT